GAAGTACTCTGCCATGATTTCCGGTGGAAGGTCTGTGATTCCTTTTTTTTCTTTTGCCTTTCTCCTTTTATCGCAGCCCAGAAATTCGTGATGAACCTGTCAGCCCGCTGCCACTCAGTGTCGGCCACACTCCTATCCGACTGCTAACGGGACAGTCACTTTTTTTTCTTTTGCCTTACTCCTTTTATCGCAGCCCAGAAATTCGTGATGAACCTGTCAGCCGGCTGCCACTCAGTGTCACACTGGATAGGCCACACTCCTATCCGACTGCTAATGGGACCATGCTCCTGGAGCTTGGTCCGACTAGCCACCAGGATCGGATTGAATGTGCGAATCTGGACGTGAATGAGCACAGGTGTAGGAAAATGAGATTGAACTGCTTTTCTGCATCTTTGCGTAAGGCATATCCAGTTGCAGGCGTTCAATCCGATCCTTGTTGCGAGTGGGACCTCGGCCCTGAGCTGTTGAAATACAGACTCAAGTTCAGCTCCAGATACTATTAAACGAAAAAGAATAAAATCGTTCTGTTTTTTTTTTTTTCCCCCTTTTGTATCATTCTGTTCTGAATTGCCTGCGGCCCGTCAGTCCAATGATGTGATGATATCTAAAGTGCGTCAACCTTCGGGGGAAAAAAAAAAAAAAAAGAAAAGCAAAGCTGGTCAACGAGGGAACATCGGGGACCTTGTCCCACTTGCACAGTTGAGGCAGCTCAACAGAGCGGCAGCTACAAAAATTCATTTTAATTCAATTTCAAATGAGAAATGCATTTATAAATGGCACGAAGACAATTGTTCTGGTCTTTCTTTTTTCACAATTGGTGTGGCATACGGCACTTACATTCCACAGCAGATTCTGAAAATGAAGAGCTGCCAGAATCCCTTTTGTACAAAAATGGCAAAAGGAAGGAGGTTCCTACAGTTCTCTTAAAAATCGCCTTTTGGGAGATCAAGAGGGTAGTAGATAGCTAGCTCAACGGAAAGTGGCGAGGGTAAGGGGAGTAGTATTGGAGAGAATTGATTTATTTCTGTTTTTTGTTGTAAACTGTGTAGCACACCGAACATGTTCGGCGCCCCACCGAGCAGCAGAACGTGTTCAGGCACTCAGCCGAGCGAGAAGGAACATGTTCGGCTGAGCACAATTTAGCGCATCCTCATGTGTGTGTGGTGTGTGGGGTGTATCTGGGGTGTTTGTGGGTTGTCTGGGGGTGCATGTGTATGGTGTGTGTGTGTGTATGTTTAGGAGTCATGTGCATGCCCCCCAGG